GGGCCTGGGATCCCCCCGGGGCCTCGGAGCGGGGCCTGGACCCTCCCCGGAGCTGAAGAGCGGAGCCTGGGAACCCCCCGGGCCCGGGAGCAGGGACCTGGGATCCCCCCGGGTCCCTCTCCCCCTCCGGGCACTAAGGCCCCAGTTTCCCCCATCTATACTGATGGCTTCACCCCGTGTGCTAATAATATATTTTAAAATCCCTCCCTTTTATGTAGTTTTTTGGTTTTAATATTTTTTTTTAGTTTTCCTAAGGCATACTGGGCACCCCAGGGTGATTTCTCACCATAGTTCGTTTGGTGATCTGCACAGCACAACTATAGAGACTAGCAAAAGGTGTAAGAGCTGGATAAACCACCCTTAATTTCTCTGTGAAATCCTGTGCTAATGTTTCACTGAAAGCTTCGGTGAAACTGTCTGCCCACAGCAACTGGGATGGCAGAGAGCAGGGGGATGAGGAGGACTCAGGGGGGATAGAAAGTCCCACAACTGGCTTCGCTCTCCTCCAATGCAGAGGTTGAATGATAAGGGAGATGTTGTCAGGCCCAGAGGTCCAGCCAGGTTGAGGTTATTTTTATGCAGAGACACTCATCTACAGTCTCACTGCTTATTCCAGGGTTTATTACCATTAAACTTCCCTCATTTTCTAGGTAATTAGGTCTTGTGAGTAGTCCTCTCTCTGCTGCTGTTGCTCAGCCCCTGCAGTACCCATAGATATTTTAAAAAAACCCTTTTTTTTTTTCTTCTTTTTCCTCAGCATTCCCTGTTTTCAGTGTTTTCCAAATTTGGGCCGCTCTACTCGGTGCGAAGGCACAGAAACGCTGCCATGGCAGGGCCTGGCTATTACGCCATCATCAAGTTTTATTCAGCTGGAGATGCCAGCAGAGCCCAGCATGCATGCAATGGGCAAAGGCTGTTTCAGAAATCTCCCTTGAAGGTAAGAACAGCCCCAGGTCTGAAACTTGCAGGACTCCACACCGTGACCTCCAGCAGCAGGGTAGGATTGGGGGTGTCAGTCTCTTCTCCCAAGTAACAAGAGACACGACAAGAGGAAATGGCCTCAAGTTGTACCAGGGGAGGTTTAGATTGGATATTATTGGAACAATTTCTTCACCAAAAGGGTTCTCAGGCATTGGAAGGGGTTGCCCAGGGCAGTGGTGGAGTCCCCATCCCTGGAGGGATTTAAAAGACAAGTAGATGTGGTGCTTAGGGACATGGTTTAGTGGTGGACCTGGCAGTGGTGGGTTTATCATTTAACTCAATGATCTCAAAAGTCTTTTCCAACCAAAATGATTCAGTGACTCCGTGAAATACTTGTTGATCTCAGTGATGCTCCTTGTGTGAAAGGTTTACTAACTTGTGGCTGGGCACTACCACCACGGTGACATCCTCCACTGCTGTCTCCCAAGTAGCATTTAAGCAGCAAAACAGCAGCATCCCTCCTCTGGAATAATTTGTAGGGCCCATTCCTGGGTAAAAAATATTTAACACATCTCAGAGACACTCTCCCAGAGCCATCAGTGGTGTTTCTGTAGCAGGAACCTTACAAGCAAAGCCTGGCTAACTGGGGTTCTTCTTTCCTGGACAGGTTTGTGTTTGCACCAAGCAGAAAGGGTTTCAGCAACAAGTCCTTGCTCTCAACAGCAACAAGTGCCAGGAGTTGGCCAATCACTACCTTGGCTTTAATGGCTGGTCCAGTCACATCATCACAGTAAGGGACCCTTTATATTCATCCATCATCCCTCTCCTCATCCTCTTCCTCCTTAGAATGGTTGGTGGAATAAGAGGAATTGTCCTCAAATATGCACCTTGAGTGCTGGGTTCAGTGTTGGGCCCCTGACTCCAAGGACATGGAGGTGCTGGAGCGTGTCCAGAGAAGGGCAACGGAGCTGGGGAAGGGTCTGGAGCACAAGTGTGCCGAGTTCCCTTGTGGCTGAGGGAACTGGGGGTGTTGAGCCTGGAGAAAAGGAGGCTGAGGGGAGACCTTGTGGCTCTGTGCAAGTCCCTTGGAGGAGGGTGGAGAGAGGTGGGGGTGGGTCTGTCCAACCAAGGCCCAAGGGACAGGACAAGAGGAAATGGGCTCCAGTTGTGGCCAGGGCAGTTGAGATGGGATGTGAGGAAGAATTTCTTTGCTGAAAGGGTTCTGAGGCATTGGAAGGGGTTGCCCAGGGCAGTGGTGGAGTCCCCATCCCTGGAGGGGTTTAAAAGATGTGCTGCTGAGGGACATGGTTTAGTGGTGGACCTGGCAGTGGTGGGTTTACAGTTGGACTCAACAATCTTAAATGTCTTTTACAACCAAACAATTCTATGATAAATAATAAACAGCTACAGGAGCTGTGTTTTGGACCACAAATGGGGTATTTGAAAGCCTGGGCAAAGATTGCTATGGATGAGGGCACTGGCTTGGCTGCTGTTAATAAAAACTGGGGTGGCTGTGATGAAAGCAGTGCCAGGTCCTGACCATAGTGTTCATGTGCTGAAAGTGCCTGAGATGACTGAGACTGCCAGAGGATGGGGACTCTGAGGTATTTCTGAAACAGGGTCAAAACAGTAAACATCCCAGCTCTGTCTCCACCATCTGCTCTGCCTTGGACTCACACGCTGTGCAGAGAAGGTCTGCAGTAAGGCCTAAGTGGTCATAACATCCCCTTCCTATCTAATCAGAATTAATTACCTGTGGTTCTTCCCAACAGCTGCAGAATGTATCTGTCTTTGATGATGAGAATGAGGAACTGGAAAAGACATTACAGAAACGATCCGTGAAATACCTGTGTGCTGTGGAGGTGACATTGCCCAACCACGGGGTACGCACCAGGGGAGTTGCCCTCGGCGAGGCAGACATAGAAAACGGTGAAGGTACGTTTTGGATGCAGCTGGAAGTCTCTTAGCAGCTGTCGCAGGTGCTGGTTGATCTTGTGTTTGCACAGTTTGTGGGTCTGTTAAAGTATCTGAATTTAGCTGGAGGCAAGGATCTGTGCAGGGCCTTGTGAGCTGCTGTGCTACGCAGCAAGGGACCCTGAGCGTGCCTCTTCCCTCCCTCCTTCACACCAGTATCACTTTCCTAATGTCTGTTCTCTCCCTCTTGCCTGCAGTGTTATTCATTCCCCATCACAGCCACTTCTGGTGTGAACATGCCATGGGATTGTGTCTGTGGCCCAGCTTAGGTGCCGGCGGGGCTCTCCACTGCCTGCTGCCCTGGGCAGGGTCCTGGCACAGGGCTGAGGATCGTGAGCTGCCGTGTGTTGGCACACGAAACCCCTGTCAGGGTGCTGCCACGCTGCCAGCAACTCCCAAAACATAAACAGCTTTCTAATCAGATTCATAAGGCTGCGTTTGGTTACGTTTCTTAGTGGTGTTCTTCATGTGCAGAGTGTCATCTTAATATCAATAACGTGCTGTTTGTTGTGTTCAGATCCTCTCGAGTTCCTCACAGCCTCGAGGAGAGCTCAGAAACTCGCAACTGGGAAGGCTTTGTCTAGTGCCTTTCAGAAGATACTCCTCGTAGTCTTAGGTAAGGCCTGTTTTTCTGGACTGTTTGGACTAATATTATAACTTTCATGATAATGAAAGAGAGCTGGAGCAGCTCTTCTGTGGGGACAGGCTGAGAGAGTTGGGGCTGTTCAGCCCGGAGAAGAGAAGGCTCCAGGGAGACCTTCTAGTGGCCTCCCAGTACCTGAAGGGGCTCCAGGAAGGCTGGGGAGGGACTTTGGCCAAGGGCAGGGAGTGACAGAACAAGGGGTGATGGCTTGAAAGTGGCAGAGATAATGAGATGAGATGTGAGGAAGAAATTCTTTGGTGTGAGGGTGGTGAGACAGTGTCCCAGGTTGCCCAGAGAAGCTGTGGCTGCTCCTCCCTGGAAGTATTGAAGGCCAGGTTGGATGAGGCTTTGAGCAACCTGGTCTAGTGGAAGGTGTCCCTGCTGCTGGCAGGGGGGTTGGGACTGGATGAGCTTTAAGGTCCCTTCCAACCCAAACCATTCTGGGATTCTATGATCATTGATACTACCCATGTCTCTCACTGTTTATTCTGTTTTCTTGTTTCAGAGAATGGGAAAGTGGCCGTGGAGTACAATTTCACCCAAGAGGAGCTCACAGACTCCTTAACAGAAGAGGAACTGAAGGGGCTTGTTGAGGTAAACCCAGTGGATATTGAGCTTTTGCACAGGACCTGGATGTCACATCTGTTAACTGTTACAGCCTCTGACACCTTCTTTTTATGCAGCAATTGACTTAAAGCCCAGGGAGTTATCACATCTCAGAAGTGTACAGCACGCTCAGGTTTTAAAACAATGAGGAAAACCATTTAGAACCATGAGGAAAAGGTTCTTGAGGCAGAGGG